ACTCGTTTTGTTTCACCCGACAGGTGAGGTTGGTGCCGTGGTCCTGGGGCCTCGGGGTGAAGGTGAGCACCGGGGACTGGCGTGTTGTAGGGTCCATCTCATTAAGGGCTTCCCCCACCCACGAGAAGGCCAGGGGTCTGGCCCCCTCACAGGACCCTGACACGCTGCAGGTCAGGTTCGCGGGGTGTCCGGACTCCAGAGGTTGCAGAATGTGGATGTGGGGTTTCTCTGTGAGGTCTGAGGAGGAGGAGAGAGGGAGGTGTCTGGGCCCCAGTGGGATGGGAACCCAGAGTGAGTGGTCTGACAGTGACCAGGGTCCCAGCAGGCAAGCTGGCCCTGGATCCTCTGACCACCCAGCCCCCTGAGCAGGAGCAGGGATGATCGTCACCTCCCTCTGCCAACACTGACACTCCCTCCTGCCAGCACCCCTCCCGGGGCCCCTTCATACCTGTCACCAGCACAGTCAGCCAACTGTCTGCGTAGGTATATTTCACATGTCCTCGCTCCACCCGGAAAGTGTAGGCCCCTGCGTCACTCCTGCGGGCACCTCTGATGCTCAGGGAGCAGTCATTGGCCCGGGGGTCTCCGATGAGCTGGAACCGGCCCTTTGTCCGTGTCTTCACTGCTCGGGTTGGATGGTTGGTGGCCACCGGAGGGTCATATATACTGTCCCCGTGCTCAAACCAGAAGATGTAGAGTGAGGCACGATCATAGTATGGTTCCCTGGGGTAGATGAACTTGCAGGGAACAGTGACACACAGGCCCTCCTGCACCGTCACATCCTTCTGCACCTGCAGCGCATACCCTCTATCCTCCTGCAGGGACCCTGAGAGACACAGAGAATCAGCTGCAGCCCCAGCTGGGACCCCACCCCCTTGGCTCTTCCATCAGCCCACTCACCCCCCCACAGCAGGGGCAGCAGCAGCCACAGCAGCATACTTGTGTCCACAGCGGTATCCAGCCCTTCCCTGGGAGAAGTGAATGCCCTCAATGTGGGGAGAAGCCAAGGAAGACTCAACAGGAAGTATTTGGGTGAAAAAGGGCTGTGGCCACCACTGAAGGGGAACTTGGAAATAAAAACTTGGGCGTGGGTGAGGCTGAGATGTCTAGCCCCACCTCCTAGAGTGTCGATGTGGACATTCTGGCTCTGAGAGGTTGAAGGTTCCTTTTGGACCTGCATCTGAAATCATAACCACACAAGTGATTTCAAGCCCAAGAAGGAGAGTTGGATCACCAAGGAGAGAGCACAGAGATCAAAGAGAAAGATGAGGGATCCCTCTCCAGATGCTGTGTGGGAGCTGCCTGCCCTCCTCCGTCTGCAGGAGTCACCATCAGCATCGGCCACCCCAGGCCCATGACTCTGCAGTGGGAATCAGGCATGTTCTCCTGTGGGGGACCAACCTCCCCACAACCGAATGGGTCTAGTGGGCAGTTATGTAATTGGTAAGTAAATTAAGAAGGCATCAGACAAGATAAAGCATGCAAGGGCTCAGCTCTCCGTCATGACTTCTGGAGCCAGGTCTGAGCAGAGAGAGACCATAAAGTAATCTCATGAGCTAACATAATCTGGGTCATGCAGGCCACGGTCAGCACATACTTAACAGGAAGGGGTTGTGCAAGAGGCATCCACGTAACATGAAGGGCATGAGGTTGAGGTGTACGTGCAATAGGAAGGAGTGGCACTCGAGGCATACATGTGACAGGAAGGCACATATGTGACAAGATGGGCATCTCTGGAGTCACTGACATATCGGGTAATATCCGACTGATGGCCTTGATCTGGACTGGGCAGGGATGTCTTCTCGATATACAATTGCTCTTTTATATAAAGCTCTTTCTTATACACATAGGAGTGACAAGAGTGTCTCTGGATGGGTTTTTCTAGTCAGCCTGGAATAACACCCACGTGACAAGAAGGCACACACCCAACAAGATGGGTGGGCTGTAGAGTCAAGATGGCAGCCCAACCTTGGTCCTCTCTGAGCTGGCTTGACCTTGGCTGTCTTTGAGCTCTTCTCCAGGGAAGCAATCTATGATCCTCACCAGAAGGGAGTGGGTTCTACTGAGAGTGGGGCAGACAACAGGGTCTGGCTGCTTTTGATGGCAGATAGCCTTCAGGCAGATGGCCTTCAAGTGTATAGTCAGTGACCATGTGCTTGCAAGCAACACCTTACATTTGGCATTATTATGGCGGGACAACACAGGGAATAACTTTTACTTAGAAGAATTTGAGTGGGAAAACATCTCCAACCCAGGAACGTGAAAGTTCCCTCCACGGGGAGCCCTGGTCTTCCAGACTCCTTACTGTATGAATGTTGACCGTTTGCCGGAAAACACTCTGTGTTAGTCTGGGTCCTTTAGAGAAACAAATCCACAGAAACTCATGTATAAAAGAGAGTTTTATATAAAGGGTAAGTGCACATCAAGAAAACATCCCAACCCAGTGCTGCCCAAGCCCACAAGTCCAACATTAACCCATATGTCCGACATCAATCCACAAAGTCCTCCTCCATCTCACAAAACACACACTATGATGCTGACTGCAGGAGGAAAGCCAAATCAGTGAATGTGTAAACATCTCAGTGCTGGCAGGGGTCTCCACATGGCTGCTCCAGGATCCAGGGATTCTTCAGGGTAGGTCCATGTGGCTTCTCCTTGGGGATGTCTTGCAGGAAGTAAGCCTTGCCAGCTGAAGCAGGGAACTGGCTAAGGCAGCTGCACTCTGGTCCCGTCCATCAGAGAACAAGAGACCCGAGAACTAGAAAGATGAGGCTCACAGCCATTTATCCCTCCGCCCTTCAATTAACCCCACATGTGTTTATTGGCCAGGTTGGCACAATAAAATAAGTACCTCACACTCTCTTAAAGGGACCTCAACTTACAGCAACACAGTCCACAGGTTAGGCGTCCCACAGGCAGTGTAGCCTTTAAATTGAGGCACAGAACAAGCAAGGCAGCCGCACACTGGTCCGATGATCACAGAGCGAGAGACAAGAAAGGAAGGCTCACCAAGCCATTTATCTCTCTGCCCTTCAGTCAATCCCACCTGCGTTTATCAGCCAGGCTGGCACAATAAACTATCTCAGTTCGTCTCAGCCTACACCTCAGGAACTTCTTGCTGAAGCTGTTTTAAAAGAGAGCGAGGAGGTTGATTATTGGGTGGTGTGGACCATAGTCGGTGTTCTTCCACCAGAGGGCAGGTGAGAGCGAGAAGAGTAACCTCATTCCGGACATGGGGAACAGTTTTGGAATTCGTGGAAGAAACTGTAGGCCTCATTTTATGGTTGGGGGGGTCACCACCACATGAAGAACTGTGTTAAAGGGTCGTGGCATGAGGAAGGTTGAGAACCACTGCTCTAAAGTAACAGAAGTTAAATGCAAACCGGAGCCCCAACCCCTTTCCTGGAGTGCCTCCTGGGGGCATATCGCATTTATCCGGCTCTGAACCCAGAAGAGCCAAATAATCAAGAGTGCCATTCATACGGCATTGATGTCGAACATATGGGTTAATGTTGGACTTGTGAGCTTGGGCAGCACTGGGTTGGGATGCCTTCGAAGCTAGTGTTAACAAATCCCCCTGCACTAGCCCTGCCAGATGTGACCAAGTCCTTCCACCTGTTTGTGGCTGAAGCATAGGGAGCGGCAAAAGGGGGCCTAACACAATCACTGTGACCTTGGCAGTGGCCCGTTGCATACTTCTCAAAAAGACTTGGCCCGTGGCAGCCGGGTGGCCCAACTGCTTGCGTGCAGTGGCGGCTACTGCCTTATTAGTTAAGAAAGCTGACAAATTAACTCTGGGCCCCAACCTGGATGTGGTGTCTCCAGGCTCAGTACCGACAATGTTTCCTTAGACTCCGATTCATGACTTTAGAAGCAATCCATGGCCTGAGACCCGACCTTACAGACCAGCCCTTGTCAAGTCCGGATTTAGTCCTGTTCACAGCGGGGTGCAGCAGCATGCTAAATGGAGTCCACCATGCCGGACGGAGCAGCAGTGGTAAATCCAGAGCTCTGAACCCTAAGGGCTCAACCCTGCCACAAGGCACACCAGCACAAAAGGCTGAACTTACAGCCTTAACTCGAGCCTTGCAGCCGAGGAAGGTAAGAGAGTATGCTTACATACAGAGGGTAGCTATTCTTTTGCGATGGCTCATGTGCATGGAAGTATTCACAAAGAAAGATGACGATGACAATGGTGAATGTAACTGTTAAAAGTTATTAGAAGAAATTTTTACCAGATTCGGTCTCCCTTCTTTCCTGGGGTCTGACAATGGCCCGGCTTTTTATTTGTAATCATTTTATTGGGGGGCTCATGCAATTCCTATCACAATCCATCCATCCATCCATTGTGTCAAGCTCATTTGTACATTTGTTGCCCTCATTCGCAAAACATTTGCTTTCTACTTGAGCCCTTGGTATCAGCTCCTCATTTTCCCCCTTCCTCCCCACCCCCTCCCTCATGAACCCTTGATAATTTATAAATTATTATTATTTTGCCATGTCTTACACTGTCCTATGTGTCTCTTCACCCACTTTTCTGTTGTTCACCCCCCAGGGAGGAGGTTACATGTAGATCCTTGTAATCGGTTCCCCCTTTCCACCCCACCTTCCCTCCATCCTCCCGGTATTGCTACTCTCACCAC